AGTACACAATATTCATTTCACACACCCTTGCAGCCATCTGCTTGGCCTCCATCCTACTGCTCTCTATCATCCCAACAACACCCGCCAGCCAAACAAAATCCTACAAGAACCAGGAGGAGGCCTCAAAGAGCCCGGATTCAGATGCTTGTGAGCTAAGGAAGGAAGCAAGGTCTGAAGCCAGTGATTCCTAGTTGAGAACGCCCAGGGCAGGGGCCAGCTCACCACATTAGCTTGAGTAACTCAATCAATCTCTGCGATGTCACTGGGAAAAGAGACAGCCACTCAGGTCACAAGCCATTTAAGATCATAGAATATCAGGGTTGGAAGGGACCTCAGGAGGTCATCTAGTCCAACCCCCTGCTCAAAGCAGGACCAATCCCCAGACAGATTTTTGCCCCTGATCCCTAAATGGCCCCCTCAAGGATTGAACTCACAACCCTGGGTTTAGCAGGCCAATGCTCAAACCAATGCTCAAAGTTATTCACGACTAGGAGGAGATCAGCCACCAACACAACCAGAGTGGTTTCTATACCAAGTAAAGGCCTAAATCCAAATTGACTGGAATCAAAGATACACAAAGAGTTGAGATATAATTGGATTTGCTTTACAGAAGACTGCATGGTAGTCTTCAAGACAAGGCAATAGTAAAAAGGTGACACTTTACCCAGGTTAGTATTTAGTATCCAATACAATTTAAAAGATTTACTACTGTAACTGGTTTGTAAGGTACCCAGGGGTCTTCACCTTTTCACTACATATAGAACATAAATAGAAAAAAAACACTTTCAAGAGAACCTGTGTGAAGTACAACTGATGCAATTTCTTCAGTGAAAGGGCCTTAGGACAGAACTGTGCCAGTACCAATTAATAATAATAAATTCCATACAAATGAAAGCCTTAAACTCACATGTTCCCCAGTTCAGAACTTTGTCCTCTGGAGAACAACTCAAGGACCAAACATTCAGGTTGGACAAAACATTAAACAACCCTCCCATCCCGCCAAAAAAAAATTCAGAAAGTATACAAAACTAAAGAACACTGGGATGAAAGAAGCTACTGCGTTAAAAAAAAGTCCATATCACTTAGCCAAAATACATTGAACCATTTTAAGTTAGACTTATTACAAAAATGCTAAATTCCTCCATATAGATAAAAATAGTTTGTGTTTCACACTTTAAAAATGGATTCAGATCTGACATTAACATAGTATGGAATTCAGGGCCTTGAAAATCCTCCAGTAAACAAGATATTTAATTAACACATTTTAAATTATTTTGCCCTATTTTTGATGCACAGTACGTCTAAATCATTTTGCATCAGTCTCAAGTCACTCTGTGACGTCTCTGCAGTCTTAGCTCTCAGTGTTAATTCAGGCCAATGGGAAATAGATAGCAGGATGTGGTTAATCGGATGCATTCCTCATGAAAATTTAAAGCAGCCTGCATCTATTCTGTACAGCCAGTTTCAGCTTTGCAGGAGCATAATGGAATGCCACAATAAATCCTATTATAACACAGGATCCTAACAGATACTGCTGCAGCTGCATTAGACCTTCTCCCAGAGAATATCAGTTAATTACCCTTCACCAAGCAATAGAAAATTTCATTTTGAGGGGTGTTTTCTTACTACACTAAGTTACCCCACTTCAGAGATCAAACCTACAATTAGGAGCCTATAGTTAGGCACATTAAATCATATTCATTCATGTAGCCATAAAGAACATATTACATTTTATTATGCAATTTTGAGAGTGCTACAGTTATATGAAGTGGGCTAACATGAGTTACTCTTCTTTTGCTGTATTAAGTACCTTCATAACAATCAGTATATGGTTTGTATTAATTATTGTTTTATTAGCACACAGCTTTTTTAAAAATCATCCATCTCAAAGCACTGTGTGTCAGACTTGGAAATATCACTATCCTTTTACACTGGGTGAATGCGGCACAGGAGTTAAATGAGTTGGACAAAGAAACACTTCACTGTAAAACAGAAAGGTCAATAATTTATTTAACATGTGTTCCTAAGTCCATTTTCATGTTTTTATGTATTTTGTGATACCCAATTTCTTTTCCAAAAATCAGATTTTTTTTAAAAGTAAGTTTCTATCCAAAATCCCATTTGTTGACACTATAACCTTCAGCAGCTCTGCTTTTAAAAAGTCACTTGGCACATTAACGTTTATGAAAGCATAGAAGTCCTAGTTTAGTCTAGCATTTTGTTCAGTCATTAAACCCAGACTATCAGGATAATAAACTTACCTATCATAATGACCTACTCATAATTAAAGCTTATGTCCAGTCTTTATGGAAGCTGGTCCATAGCTCAAAACAGGTGACATATAAAATAATCAACTCTGATGAACCGATAGGTAGCAAATAAAGAGTTCCTCAATATACAGCTGGCTGTCAGTTTCTCTTAGCTAACAATATCCTGGTATCAATTCCACATTTAAATCTGACGGCTTCTTTAAAACATACGTGTACCTCTGTGGTGAAATTCTTGTCACATGGATATCCTTGGGAATTCTGCCATAGACTTCTGTGGAATCAATGTCATGCCTGGAATTTTTGTGCGTTATGATTTTTGTATAGAACCTCATCCACATTAAAAATAACAGAAAAAATGATCAGATTCTAGCAACTTCCATAAATAAATAAAAAATAAAAAAAGTCATATGGATTCTCCCCTTCCACAGAGTGTCAGTCATTTCACTAACTATGGTGCTCAGAGTACATGGGTTTGCATAATGGTTGCACTTGCTGATGCAGATGGTGCTAGCACAGATATTTATTTTACTCTAAGATGTAAATCAGTCAGTCACCATGGAGTGGCACATAAGATTCCTGCGATCAGTGTCTCTGGTAGATAGTTTTCCTCCTCCATTGCCTATATGGATTTGGGGGTAGACTGTACTTTCAAGGCACAGCCCAGAGTAAGGGATGCTACAGAATGTCCTGCACCACGTGGAAAAACAGGAATCAGTGGGAGGCAAAATACTCCTTGTGCACAATGGGGGCACACTTACTACTATTCCCCTTTATAGGGTGGGCCTTACTCCCACTTGGGCTAATGAAGAGGATGGAAGCTGAACAATGGAGCCCCCTTCTCCCACCAATTCTGGGGCACCGTCTTCCCTAAGGAAGTAGTGAGGTGGCTTTTCTGAGCACAAGGATCTCACTTCTTCCTGATCCCTAGGCATCATGCCTAGCAATCCTCATGCCTCTCGCAATTGCGTGTGTGTGTGTGGGCCAAGCAGAACCTGCCCCCTTAAAATTTTATGTTATTTAATAACTGACCATCAGGTACCTCCTGCCAGCTTCTTTCTATTGGAGCCTCTGCTATTACTTCAGGCGCCATCAAAAAATAAGAGACTGCCCCTTCTCTCATGTAAGAAGGTGGCTACAAAATAATGAATCTATAGCATCTTACTAATACTACTGCTGTGATTCTGGCAGTCACATAACAAACAGGGCATTAAATATTTCCAGTAGTGATCAAATTTAGCAGAAATAAGCCAAATATGTTGCTATAATTAAATGCCAAAGGTGGCATAAAACATTACACATACCCAGTGGGAGATTCGGAAATAAAGCTCTTTCATGGAGACTCTGAATGCATCATCGTTTCCTTGTTAATTCAAGTGTATTCTGAATAGGAGAATATTTCACATTACAGTCTACACCTATCAGCTAGGTGTGCATTCAAACTACACGATAGCATTTACGCAGGAAATTCAGTACATTTCTTCATCACAAATAATTTATTTTCCAGTCAAACATTCTTTGTTCATTTTAATAGCTTCTGTATTAGGTGGAAGAGTCAGAAAATTAGAGCCTGAATCAAAATTCAGATACATTCTTTAATGTCCTTCCTTCTCACGGCCAAAACATATAAATGCTGTACTCAAATCTGATCCTATTTACTTTTTGCAGAACTCCAATAATGGCATTTTTACCATTCTTTTTATTTAACATGACAACACTAACACCGCTATAAGTGATAATGTATTAACGATAAATAAAAATACCTATACAAAACTTGTGGGATACCCAAGTGTACACAGTTTGCTTTAAGATATATTTATTTTAAATCTACCACACTATTCTTAAAACCAAGCTTAAAATGGAGTTGACACACAAAAATGCCAGCACTACACCATACTCTGAAAATATTCTATTGTAACCAACTTCAATTGGATTTACTGGTTTACAGTTTGCTTACTGGCCAGAAAGAGTTACTAACCTTCATACTGTAATATCAAGTAAACAAAGAAGGAGTTGCATGTGGTAGATAAAATTCAGTATTTGCATACTTACTGTGCTTTACTTTGATGTCAAATTATTTCATTTATCTTTTCTATCATTTTATATGTTCTTTTAACAAGGCATTTCACGCTACACTACTCTATCTCAACTTACCCAACATGTGTGAAACTAAGTCTGTTCTTGTTACAGTTTTTCCTCAGTAATTAGCAAGCTACATAGTCTCCGGCAGCAAGATACTAACAAGCTCCTACAGTTTCTAGTCTAACAAGGAACTCAAAGCTACTAATAGCAGTCAAAACATTTGAGCAAAAAGGATTACAAAGGCTAGTTGCAAAAGGCTGGAAACTCACCCGTATTCCAGATTAAGTCTTTTTGAGAAGATCTTTTGTATTGGGTTTTGATTCAGTATTTAAAACAATTATTGATCAGAAATTAATTTGTTTTAAATGGAAGGCTGGTTTGAAATATTAATTATTTTAAGAGGGAATCTTTAAATATGTGAAAGACAGACATTTTCAAACAAACTAACGCTTGCATCTGAGATCAAGTTAAAAACTTCTCATTCTTCTCTGGTACTGGGACACCGAGTTAAAGCTAAAAATGAAACCAGACCCTGCAGCTTATTTGTGAAGTTTAGTTGCCATGAACATCAGTAACCATGTCACTATTACATAGACTATGTTTAGACAAGTATGAGAGCCAGTGAACTGAACAAAAGTCACACTCACTTACCTTGAGGACTTCCATTGGCACCTGGGTAGGAGGGGGCAGGTTAGAGGGGACGCTGACGTTGATGGCTGGTGTCTGACCGAGTGGTACTCTCTGCTGCATGAACTGGGCTGCTTGCTGCTTCTGTTGCTGCTCTCGACGCTCTTGCTCCTGCATCTGCTCACGCATGAGCTGCTGTCGTAACAAAATCCGTGATGTCATACTGGAGGAGCTTAGGGGAGGCTTGGAAGCTCCAGGATGCTCGGAACTGCTGTGGGAAGACCAAAGCCACAGACATCTCAGTTTCCCCAGTTAGAATAATTATTTCCTGCGATTGCAGAGTTACGTTAAGTGTGAAACAAAGTGGCTCTCACACATACGAGAATGAGTAATGATATGCTGCCCAGGGTAAATTGGAATTTGGAGCTGATCTACTTTAGGTTCTTAGAAGCCAAATTAAGCTAAATTAACCTGATTACGTCTAGCCATTATTTTCAATGTTGATCTCTAGCAGCAAAGAGGAAATTTTTAAGTCTAATGCTCATTAACATCTAATAGAAATACAGCATCCCATTGAGCCCTGTTGTAGTATGACTATAATTCTTTCATACTCCCATTTATAGTGGCAATGCTTTTATTAATTAAAAATCAAATGAATGTATTTAGCATCTTCTTAAGGTTAAGAGGACTTTACACAACCCTTTATGTAGGCATTGGGGATAGGGGAGGATTCCCAGCACTACTGAGGCCTGGCGCTAAAGTTCCACCACATGTTCCTGCCTCCCCGAGAGCACATGGAAACCCCTCCATACTAACTTGGTGTTCAAGAGTGGGTTGGGGCAGTGGCTCCTTGCACCACATTCGAGTTTGCTAGTACCACTCTCTTCAGGGGCGACCACCACCTGTGACAGTATCAACTCACTTTGATGGCACTAGCAGGCTTGAAGTGAGGAGTGGGATGTGGGTGCAGGTAGGGCAACCAATAGCAATAGCTTGTAATGGATCCATGCTAGGAGGGGAAGTGAAGGGCATGAAGGGTATAGGGGAGTAGCTGCGAGAGGCCTTCTGCAATGCGTTTTTTCCACAGATGGAATGATCTGGCCCGTTCTTTGTTCACAACACAATGATCAATACAAATCCCATATTTTACATACAACACGACACAGGAAAAGCAGACAGAGAGAAAGAGAATAGAAGAAACTGGAAAGGTTGAAGACAAGATATTTGAAGAGGACATGAGATTTGTTTTTTCCTGAACACGTGACAATCTGAAGTGTAAAAGGAAGACTCAGTTCCGGTTAATATTATTATTCAACCTGTTCATTTTATATCCCACCTACCAGGGACTGCTATAATCAAACAGATACTTGACCAAGGACAACTTTGGGAGGTTAAGAAAGTTTCTGGTTCATTCACATTTTGATCCATTTCACATATTCCACTTTTTTAAAACACACACACACACACACACACACACACACACACACACAGTATTGTAAAATATTTTTATTTGAGCTGATTTTTTCCAACTACTATGCTGTATAATGCCATGTATATTTAGATTTGTTATAATTACTACAGTCAGACTTTATATTGAGATTCTATTTACGAGTAGTTTACAAAGAGTTAATAAATGAATAACAGATGTGTGTTTTACAGTAGTATATAAAGTAGTATGCGGTATATAGATGATTACAAGTACATCAGTAGAAGGTGTTTAAAGTGGTTATATTGACCTCTTGCATGCTATAGCAATCTACAATAGCCAATTAATCATTCATTAAAAACCCTTTAAAAATGGAACCTTAATAAAAAATAACCATTTTTTCTATGGTGTCTTTCATCCAAGAACCACCCAAAATAATTTAAAACCACCGAGCAGCACCTCTATGGAAGGTAGGCAAGTGCATTTTGTAGATGGTTAAAGCTACTCAGCAGTTAAGAACAGATAATATTACAGAAATAATGCATCCACACAAGACAGTGAAGTCTCTTTTAGGTATGCACCCCCCCCCCCCAAGTACAGACATGAATTTGTTGCTTGAACCTTCACCTTTGCAGTTGATCGGTGTAGGATCAAACCCACAGCATATGCCGAGTTCATACAGTAGGACTGGGATTTTCAAAAGCCGTAACTTCTATTGAAGTCAGAAACAAAGAACACTAACACCTGCTATGTCTGACTTCTTATTAAGAACCAGATCCCAACACCTCCCAACAGAAATCTCAGCTGCAAAGCACATTTTTTTTCTGATTAGATTAAATGTTAAATCAACAGCATTAATCACACAAAAATTAAACGGTATTATGCCCATTAACATTTAAAATGTATGATGCTTTCAAATGACAAGAACGACATTAACATGTTAAAGTGCAGCCATTCCAGTCAAGCGACACCATTGCATAGGTAAAGGGCCAGATTTTCAGAAGTGCTCAGCACCCAACATCTCCCATTGAAAAATCTGATCCTCAGGTGCTCAACACCCAATAGTTCCCATTGCGCTCAGTGGGAGCTGAGATCTCCAGCAAATCTGGCAAGCGATGTTTAGAACCAGTACATTAAAATTAAATTGTTCACAGTAGGAATAAAAAGGGAAAGGGGTTATTTTGTTTAAATAACATTAAACCCAGATTTTCCAGAGCGCACAATCTAATTTTCCTTAAAAAGGGGCGGGGGGAAAGAGGGGAGAAGAGACTGTGTTGCTATTTAAGGCCTGTCAGGTTGAAACATTCCCAGAGAGACTGATCCTTTTGATAAAACAAGAGAAAACCTTTGTGGTGAAACTAATGCAGCTGTGGAATAATCGTACTAATTAGCTGCTCAAGACAAGTCATTGACTGTGATACTCACAAAAAGAGCCTTTCAATTAACAGTGAAGTATTCTCACATCCTAAACCCATCACAGTGTTCTTTAACTTTGTTAAAGTTTGGAAGAGCTTTTAAAAAGACATTCACACATTTCCAAACTGCAGAGAGGTTCTATTTAAATGGTTGCTTACTAAAAGAGCTACAGGTTAGAGCTGAAATACCATTTCAGCTGCAAAAAACAAGGATCGATCCCACTCCTATTCAAGTCAATGGACATTTTATTTAGGTTTATAGACATGCTAAAGAGGGTGCCCATCCATACGCTCTAGGTGTCGTTGGCAGAGATTACAAGTACATACCAAGTTTAGCAAATAGATATCCCACTCCAATCCCTCCTCAAAACAATTTACCCCTCCATTCTTCCCCATTTTCAACTGTCATGAGGGTGGGGGAAAGGGGGGATAGATGAGCCTTGCGAGGCGCCCTGAAGTTCAAATCAGAGCTATTTTGAACCAAAAGAGGGGGAAGTGAATTTCGAAGCTGTAGGGCTTTTGCAAAGAACGGCCTGCCAGCAACCCCGCCTCATTTACATCAATGAGGCTGCAGCTCAAGGACCTCTGCTGCGCTCAGCTATGGCAGCATGCCATGAGGGGAGAAACTGACTCTGTTTTGTCATTTATGTCAATGGGTGCAGGAGCTTGCCCACTGTCTTTAATGGCAATTCATTTCCCTGCTACAAGTGCAGAAGACTGGACTAGATGACCTCTCAAGGTCCCTTCAAGTCCTATGATTTATGATCCTACGATTTTGTGTTCTTTAAAAAAAAAAAAAAAGTTCAGTCCTTCCTCAGAAATGACTTAGATAACCTGGCAACAAACTCATCCGATCTCTGATTTTAAGTCTGTTGACCTTATAAGTCTCTTCAACGTTCTGGGCTGCTAAAAAGACATTGTTTTGTGTGTGACTGACTTGGAAATAGAAGATCTGAGAGTATACTCCTAACACAAATGCCATAAAGGAAAAACAAACGGAGCTTGATCTTTTTCACATCCAAAACATCAGATTTGGGGGGCCAGATGAGAGGGGAAGAACAAGCTCCTGAGATTACAGAATGTTCTGTTCATCCTTAATACTCAGAAGAAGCCAGAAACAAATTATTTAGCAGCAAAAGAATTTAGTGAGCTAAGCAGATGTGTAGCTCAGTTTTTATTCATGCACAAACTGGTTACATAATGGAGGTAGCCAATATAGTTTAGTGGTTACTCCTAAAACGGACAGGATTCTGTTAGTGAGCACACACCATAGCGCTCACACTGGAATGGAGGCTCTGAAGTTGAGAAACTTTCTGCTCTGACTCCCTTTTCCAGTTGAGTAACTTGGCCCAAATGAAACTTATATGAGAAAAATATTCCATATTGGATCTACTACTTGCTTTAGTAAAACAAGTTACACTTTCGGGGTGGGGGTGCACAAACTTACCTTCCTCACATTTGTTCTACTGACAGCTATGTAGTCACATAAAAAGGTACTAAAACTGGTCAAACCTAGAGTCTTCAGACTAGAAGCTCTGGCAGCAGCCTCTGTCCTGCAAAAGAGCCAATGAAGTACTTGCATTACAATTAGCTCCTCACCCTTCAGGGCTCCAGGGGTCAAGGAGAACTTCATTGATTTTCTGCTATCATACAGGTGATGTGGAGGAAAAGACTACATCATGGAGTAGGTTGCTCTTCCTTCTGCAAGGAGGAGAGGTCAGCGATAGATGCCGCTGGTGGGGACTACACAGAGCTGCTCCATCTGTCCGAACACTAAGCACAGCTGCCCCTTGTCTTTATGGCACAGGGGTGGCCTTGGCCCCTCTAGCTTGTCATGTGCAAGGGAGAAGGGGAAGAGGTGCTTTTAAAAAAGTGACAGTTGACATTCTCATTTGCCCCCTTTTCTTAATCAGCACAAAGAGGCAAAGTTGGACCTTTCCTAAAGTGCTGCTGCTCCTTCCCCAACAGGGAGTTCCCCTACGTGAGCCGAAGGCTGTTAGGCAAGTGGCAAATGAGGCGGCTAGCGAAGAGAAAGAGGATTTTTAATAGATGCATTGGATCTTCCTGCTAACCCTTCCCTGAGTGCTCGCTATTAGTGAGTTAGTTTCAGTCGCTTTTATTTGTACAACATGATGCATGAGGCCACCCCTGGTCGTTACAAGATCGTTTGGGCTGCCGTGCCCTCTGTGGGATGGACTGTCCAGTCCTAGGTCTTCTTCCATCAGACCCAGCTGCCCAAACTAAAGGCCTGGACGAGACTGGATTGAGTGAAACTCAATTTGGACTGAATTCAAAGGTTGTACGTTCCCTGGCAAACGGTCAGCATCCCCCCTCAAGGAAGTTCACAATCTAGGGCCTCTTTGGAAATCCCACTGCCAGTGACCAGGAATATTACAATCTTCTCTTCTTGATACACACTTCACCACAATG